GACTAATATGCTTGCAATGATAAATGTGATATTGGTTTCTGTTTAAACAGCGTAAAATTTGCAAACCACCCCGATTTTTTGTGTAAATTTTGCTTTCTTCAATATTTTGCTTATTTTACCAGAAAGTGACACGTATAGGAGTCTTTGCTAGGCTTCAACTTCCACTTTATCTTTTTTTCCCTTCTTTCTCAAATACATTCTCTCTTTTTCAGCCCATAGTTAGACTGATTTCTTGTTGTTCCTTTTACACAATAACTAAAAATTGAATGAAATGATTGACAATTTTAATCATTCTTTTCCTTTTCAACTTCATCTTTTCTTCCTTAAATAATATGTGTTTTTTTTTTCCTTCTTACAGCCATAAGAAAAGAAAATATTGGGTGAAAATTAAATCGAAATTTGAATACTGAGTCTAACCAGAGATTAAGTTTATATAGAAGTCGATCGTTTCAATTTTAATCGTGAAATTTATAATCAATACGGGAAGGAGTTGATCCCATCTTTTAATGTACCAATTACAGCTTTAAAAAGAAAAAAATACACCTTAGATTGTTACTTTGCTTCTGCTTTTATCCGCTTAGTAAATTGTTTCTTTTGAGCCACTTTCAGATTACACCGCAATTGGCCCTTATCCGTTTTTAGGAAACGATTTCAGCAATAGCTCTTCAGTCGATTACTTACTCATCCATTTGGAGACTAGAACTGAAGAATTGAGCTAGGCGCTAAAGTGAGATGAAAAGGAGTGCTTTACATACTTACAACAACTGTTTGTCGAGAAGAGATGCCAAGATTGAAGTGTTCATAAACGAAGGTACGAACAATCCCGCATGCTGCGCCTTATTCTTTTTCCTTTAAAACAACGTTTTTTTAATCCCACAATTGATTAATAATCCTTCCCATTCACTTTTTTTTTTCAATCACAAAAAATTTTCAACCAAGCTAAGTTTTTTTTTTTTTTTTTTTTTTTAATTTTGCCGACAGTTTGAAAAACTTATGTGAGATGATTGTACAAATCAATGTTCGTTTAGAGTAAAGCCATGTTGTGATTTTAAAAACTTTACCGTTGCAGAATTTTAATACTATTAACTTCTAACAGTGTTTTTGCAATAGACCAACTGCTCAAAAGAATAAATCCTACAAAGATGACTCAATAGGTGACACAGTCAGGATAAGCTAACGAAGTAACTCTTGCTGTAGGGCCTAAGAAACTTGTCTTGCCTCAGCCATTATATACATCAAACTCTCGATACTTGTGACGTTATTTTATTCATTGCCATCATTCTATGTATTATTTTCTTGATGTGTTTAATTCGTTAATAAGGTCAATAATTTTAGCTTATGCAATTTGTAGAAAAAATCAGCGTTTAAAATATGATATTCAGACTAAGTAAATTTAACATTTCAATGGCTAACTCACTGTGGTTTAAAATCCAGTCAGTTGTTGAATTGATAGCATTTCTGCGAAGTATTTATACAACTTCGAAAATCATTATTTCATAATGTCATAAGAAATGTAAAACATTTGTTGTGGAGTGATTTATTACTTTAATTCTATGAACTTTATCCAACTTTCTTATTATTGTTATTTTGTTTAAAAGAAAAAAAAAGAAAAATTTAAATCGATCGAATTTGGCAAACTCTCGAACTGAGTAATAAATCTCGATTGTACAGCTAGAATTTACCCTCGCTGATACCCTTCAATTTTACAAGCACTTACAGTAGTGAACATAAAATCCAAACACATGGGTAAATATGAAAGCGATGGGAAAAACGGGGCTCTGTGATTTTATTGACTAAATTTGTCTTTTTTTATACTATATTCAGTCATCTGTTTGTCTTTTTTTCGCTCTGCAGAATTTTTTATTTTAGAAGTCAGTTTTTTACAACTTTTGATTTAGACAAAAGTTTCACTAAACCAACACATAAAAGGAGTATAAATTATGCTCTAAAAGGTGAAATTCGGCTTGAATTCATAAATGAAATTTCTCTTTTCAAATATTAGAATATCCATTATTTTTTGATATCCATTACGGAAACATTTTTTTTTAATATTTCGATCGCCTGTTATCGCTGTTTTATTGCAAAAAATTATGGTTAGAATGAATACCTAAGTACTGATTTGATAAAAATCTCTGTGTTAGCTTCCTTCATTCCGCAAAAAAAAAAAAAGAAAAACCATACTTTTTTTTCGAATCACTGATAAAAGAGACGGTCTTTGCTATGAACAGTTCCTGAACACTCATTAATTTTGAACAAATATCATTAAACTTTGATGTTAAAACAACATTTCAACTTAGATAAATTCAAAACGGTGCACATTTCAAGTCCTAAAGGACAGATTTAATAATGAGCAATTCTTGAAATTTATTTTCAAATATATAAAGAAAAGGGTTTGATAATAGAAGTTTCTACGCCTAACTCTCACTAAAATATCTAAATGTATCGTTTTTGCAGGTAATCTCTTCACCATTATTTGATATCGTGTCACAGCAATTCAAACATTTAATGCTTTAAAATGCAAAGGAATTTTAGTATTTGGTTCTTTCACTGTTTTGAAGTTAATTCTACTACTTTTTTTTTTGAAAAAACATTGGTTTTCGAAATGAATTTGTACCAGAAATCACAATTAAGAATTTTAGTCGATTAATCTTGAGTCGATTCTTAGTTCTCTAATGCTATTCTCGAGATTTATAAATTCTTGGGGTCCTTGTTACCACGTTTTTCCAGCAAATGTAGTGAGTTAATAGATAATGCAGTTATCAATGGTAATTCGCCTATCTGAACTTGGTAAATACCTCTCAAATATGAGCTATAAGACAAAGTTACATATTTGTGTTGTACTTTTCAGTACTTCTCGATGAACACATTTGCCTCTCATCGCTCTTTCTTCTCCACTTCTCCCGTGTTGCTTTAATTAGTGCTCATTAAAAAAACATGTAAAACTGGTAAGAATGATCGGATAAAGTTTAGGTCAGAAATCAGCTAACTGAATGACTAAGAATTTTGATATGTTCTGATTTTTTAATATTTCTTTTCCATATTTCGCACCCAATCACTTTCACATATTACCTGACTTTGCTGCATTGTCTAACAAAAGCATTGATAACTGATAGTGGAGAAGAAGGAAGAGAGCATACTAGACAATTTAGGTTGATACCAACTTTCTATGCAAACGTTTCATTTACAATATAGATTTGACTCAAACTTTTGTTGAGTAGCTTTTTTTGCATAATTTATTAAGTTGTTAAGAAGTGATCACCTAATTAAGCTTCAAATCAGCGATAAAGAGCTAACTGCTTGTGCAAGCTACATTGAGTAGTAGATTAATAAGTAAGTCGAATTGGTTTATAGTCTTGCAAGCCATTAGTAAATATTTACTGAACACAATGTGATGTATGTTGTTCTGGTTGATCTGCTGTCATATGCATGCTGCATGCACAGTTATTTGATATGAAGTGTTTGAGGACGATAATGTGCTTTCTTGATTTTGAAATCCAAAAGAACAAATGGATTTTAAATTAGTTGAATTTTTTTAAATGCTATTTCTATTCTGCATTGGAAATGAAAATAAGCGTTGTTAACGCGTTCGTTATTTCTGTAATGCTATATTTACAAATGATTGGTGAATTGCCAGAACAAAATCTCAGATTGCCATCTGAAGTAATTGAATTCGATATTAGGCTTCATTGAAGACAGTTGACTGCACTTAAAATTACTAATCAAAATTTCCCAATTAAGATATATGAAGATTTATATATTTTTTTCCATTTCTAATTTTCCATTTCATTTTTCAATTTTCATAAAAGATTATTGCCTAAAATTCGTTTCGCAATTATTACAGCTCGAAATGAAATCTGAATTTACGAAATTAATCGATAGTAGATTAAATTTCCACTCTGCAAGAATAACATTACTTAGTTTCTCTACTTACTTTATTTCGTGATGTTCAGAAATAGATGAACTAGTCCCCTGAATCATTTATCAGAGCCAATTTAAGTTAACATTCTCGGGATTTCAAGGACGACTAATTTCTTATTAGATTTTTATCAACTTCACAAAATCGTCGTAAAAGTACAAATACAGATCTAATTTGTTTTAATTTTTTATCTTACTTGAAATTCTCACCAGCTATTCTTAAATCTTTCGAAATAAATTCTAATAGTTGTTATTATAACAAAAATGGCTTAGCAGGTAAAACGTATGAATACTTGGCCAGGATTTTAATCTTTGCAAAGAAAAAACCGGATTTATGACTTTTTGCAAATCGAAACTCGTTTATCTCAAAACTGATTTTTTTATGTAATACATTCCTCTAATTACTAATTAAAAATATTTACTCTACCACATAAAATCATTTCCAGAAAATTTTTTTCGACAATTATTTGCTTTGAGAGGCGATGTTCTAAATTCGTTCCAAACTTAAGTTTTCACCGTATTGCGTAGAATGTCTCTAATGGAAAAGAGTGAGCTGAAGAGTTAATATATTCAATCAAAATTCTTCCGATTTAGTTTTCTGATGCAAACCATTCTTGTTAAAAGTTGTATTTGCATAGATCATATTCCTTCAAGGCATAAATCATATTAGAAAGTCCTTTAGTTTTATTAAGCGAAATTTAAAGAACTGCGTACTGTTTCAGCAAAATGGAATCGCACTGTTTAACACATATGTCTATTACCTCGTTTAAAACAAAAAAATTAAGTGAGGTCATTATTATCAAAATGTTACTCTACCAACGCCTTATAAGAATGACTTTCGTGAGTTCGCCACTTGAAGCCTTCAATCCATCGTCACATATCTACATTATCACACCTTCTTTTCTTATTTTACAAATTTTAAGTTCATTTTATGGTCAAGTTCTCTTCAAGTTGGTACATGTCTCGTCAGTTGCTCAAAAAAAAAAAAAAAAAAAAAAACAAGACACTTATAAATTGTTATCATTTTATCAGTGAAAATATTGCAGTTTACGAATGCTTCAAATCATTGCTTTAGCTATTTCAGCATGTTATGCCGCAGATTACAAGATCTAACTTATTGTATATCATATAATGTCAATTTTTTAAACGATAAAGGTTTACTTTCTTAAAATCTTTTAACACTCAGATTTTTTCGTTTGTTAACATGGAATGAGAAATTTTCTATCCTTTCCATAAAGACCTTTAAAAAACTTACCATTGGGATTAAATATAAACATAATTCAAACCAAGCAACTTTTTATTTTAGAAATAAAAAGGCTGAAGCCCACATATTTTATTTTAAAAAATGACTAAAGTTTTTCATTGCAGCACACGGAGCAAAGCAATTCCGGAAGAGGTACACAGTACTGGAGGAGCTTGGCCGGGGTGGATTTGGGATTGTTTACAAAGCGGAACGTAATGAAGATAACGCTGCAGTGGCTGTTAAATTCATTGAACATAAACGAGTCAGAGAATGGACTATGGTCAGTTCCAAATTGCAAACTTGAACTACTGGTCAAGTTTGCAATTAACTGCGTATTAGCAGTTAGATTACTGCGAAAAACTGTTCTGTTTTTTACTATTTTTTTTTTTGGTTATTCAATACAAAAATGTTGCTTTTGTTACAGAAATGTAAGCAGTTAATTCCAACAGAAATTTGCTTACTGGATATGTGTCGTAGTGTCCCGGGCGTAGTTCAGCTAATTGATTGGTTTGCCAAGTACGGTATTTCTTATGCATCTCATCTCTAAATCTCGAAGTAAATTGTATAAGTTTGTGAATAATTTGAATTTAAAAAAAAACACTGTCTCATAGTTCTTCGAAGTCGAGAATTATCTTAAAAAATTTTTAAATTTCTTAATGTTGGGTGCATTATTATCATATTTATCTTAACATATTTTCGTGGATAGCTTATGTTTAAAAAGTGGTGAGCAAATTACTTATTATAAAGACTTAGTTATAAAAGATATTTAAATTGTAAAGCATAACTCAATTTAAATTTAATGACAATTTGAATCACTTCGTGCTTCAGCATCAAAGTATTATTCTCCACACGCAATAATTAACGAAAAATACACTAGTTTCATTAACAGTCTCTGAATTGCAGTTCGAAAGGATTTCTGGTAGTAATGGAGCGGCCGGAACAGTGTTTGGATTTGTTCGATCTAATTTCAGTTTATGGTTATTTGGATGAAGATATTGCACGATCGATATTTGTGCAGATATTGAATACAACTTGCTTGTTATATAACACATATGGTATTTTCCATCGAGATATCAAAGTGCATTTTTAATTATAATTTCATTCATTCCTGAAAGAATTAATTTAATAATGAACAGATAAGTCAAAGAGAATAGTAAGTCGAAAGACAGTATCTATTATTCATACCTACTTGCTATTTCATGTTTGGAAATCATTTTGAAATCTAATAAAATCGTAAATTTTGCACAAATTTCAATTCAGAAGGATGTGAATAGTATAGTCTACCAAGTGATATTTCTGAAATTTACGAAGTACTAAATTTATAAAATACAATAATTTTAACAATGAACAGCAAATAAAATTGCTAACAAGTAAGTTGTTGTTTTTTATTTTCATGTTAATGACTCATTAAAGGCTGAATTTATTTTTGAAGGATGAGAATATAATCATTAATATGGATACGGGCGAAGCCATCTTGGTTGATTTTGGTGCCGCAGCACTCATTTCTGAGGCATGCATCAAAGAATTTCAAGGTTAATAGAATAAACTTAAGTTGAAAAAAAAAAGGATAACCTTTACAGTACGATTTCTTCAATCATATAGTATACCTGTATCCTATAGTGCTTTCACTGAATATCACTTATGTAATTAAAGCAGCCAAGAAGTGAACATTATATATTGCATTAAAGAAGATAAGTTAAACAAAAAGTCAAAATCCCTAATCTTTAATTTGATGATTAAAAGATTTAATTATAATGACTGTATATTTATACAACCACTCCATAACAAGAATTATATTGAATACTTGAAGGGTGGAATTTTTCTGAATTTCAGGTACACGTTCGTACTGTCCACCAGAATGGTTCAAACGCTTAACATATAAGCCATTAGAAGCAACTGTATGGTCTCTAGGTATAGTTCTGTACGTTATGGTATCTGGTTGTTTGCCTTTTCAGAATGAAATACAAATTTGCTTAGGCAGATTTGCCATTCCAAAGCATATCTCAAAAGGTTGGTTCAGAATGTAATTCTGATCATTTTGCCAAAAATAAACTTGCGAATTTCTTTTGAAAGTCTCGAAATTAACTCTTCCAATCTTTCTTCAAAAATTTTTCTGCTTACTTTTTAATTAGTTATTACTGACTAAACCGTTGAAGTCAGGTTATGCATGTTTGTTTGCAGATTGTGAAAATTTGCTGCGTCAATGTCTTGCAGTCACACCGTCTAGACGACCGGAATTGCTGGAAATTTTCAAGCATCGATGGTTGAATCAACCTATTGCTGTGCATTCGGAATCATTCAAGGTCGTACTTCAACGACATTTTCAAAAGAAGAAAGAAGCACAAGGTCGATATAAGCTACAACAGTGTGGAATTCAAGAAAATAGCAAGAAGAGCGCTATTGCCGACGAAAGTGCTAACACAAACGAGTTCATTACAAAGAAAAACGCTTTTACAAGTTGTGACATTTCGGTTGACGACAATCTCTCCGCCATGTAATATTTGACTTAATCTATAATCATTCTTTTTGAGCTAGTTCTTATCTTTCTTAATTATAAGTTCTTATATAATAGTCTGCATGCTAATGATCTCTTCAGTTATGCTATTTCACTGCATAATATTTGCGTACATGTGATGTTCTTCTGCAGATCAATGCTATCTCATACCAACAGCGCTTTCAATTCCAACTTATTGAAAAAACACCGCCACCATTCAAGGTATTCACAGATATCTTGGAAGTGATTTCTGTTGCCAGACATGAGCCAAGTTAACAAGAAGAAAGAGAGGAAATGATTATAATTGATGCTTAATTAAAGAGTGTGACAATAGTGTGATAAATATGTGTTGGCATTACAATTATTGTTTTTGCCACTAATTTGACTACGATTGCATTTCACACATTCCATTTCATATTTCGAGTACACTAATTTTGGATAATTAGTATAAAGTACCTTTCAGTTATGATAATGTTGTGATGAATATACGAACAGATATATTCACTTCACGAAATTGTTATGAAGATGATAATAATGTGTTAATACGTCCAAGTTCTATTGCGGAGGAATCAGAATACAGTGATTCTCCATTTTGCTCAGCTTATGAATCGATTTCCATGATTAGCACTGATCCACAGAATTCCGAATCATATGTCACTGCTTTAGAGGATGACAGGTATTCTTATTACTTGAATTTTTTCCTATTATTGTTTCCTATTAGTGTGGTTAGGGAAGTTTTTAACATTGTTTGCCACTGCACCTCGATTTTCAGAGAATGTTCTTTCCAAAGATCGAAAGAAGCTACTGCAATTGAACATTTTAATAACTCCTTTCGTGATAATAGTAATGCTAACAATCACCGCAAGGAAGAAGTGGTGCAAGCAAACTGCCCAGACAGGCCTGTGGAGAATATCTATCCACAGAAAGTAATGAATTCTAGGCTTGTAGCAAAGCATTGGCTTCAGAATGTAGCAATAAGATCTAAATATGGATCTCTAAAGTTGCAAAAGCCTTCAATTTGTCAGGAAAAAGGGGAACTACAAAAAGAAGCAAATGCTAGCAGTAATTTATTAAGGATATTTAATATTGATTCACGACGATCCTCAAATCCTAGTATTTTCCAAATAAATTAATTATTGCCAATGTTTTTATCAATGCAGATTTACTATGTATATCACAGCTTGTTGTATTTCAATGTAAAAAAAAAAAAAACTTTATTTCTCTAAATCAGTAAAATTTTACTTGTTCCACTGAAATTTCATTTTTAAGCGACAAAATGAATGGACGTAATTTAATGTTTAATAAGATCACTCAATAATAGTTCATTGATTTTCATCACATTATTCCAAAGCATACAGGTAAATTTTTTACATTTCGGATTATTGTTACTACATATTTGAAGGATTTTCCAAAAATTTCAAGTTCGTTCCAAATTTGAGCGATACCGTGAAACTGTAATGCGACGCTTGCATTCAATGCTGGCATTCTAAAAAGAAGTGGCATAAATTAGATGTGAATTTGAATAAATACTATAATCTACGTGATATTTAGATGCTGTGAAAATGGAATTTGAAGTATTTAAAGTTAGAGTTGTAAGTAAAGGAAAAATTAATTGTTCGATTTTAGTGATAAGCTTTTAGCAAGAACAAAGGTCACTTTAATCTTTAAACAAAGGTAACGATTCTTGTTCAATAACACGCAATTAACATGCTAGGAAATTTTTGTTGGAATAATGCAGGTGATTTGAAATTAAACTAAAGATTGATTGGAACATAGCGACAGTCGCTATCTTACTCCAAAACTGATCATTAAAAATCAATGTTTCTTGATTCGATAATCGATTTAAGCATGATTATGGAAGAAGAGAATACTTTTCATACTGATTTCATGTGTAAATTCAGTTTGATTAATAATTTAATTTAAACTACGAAAATTCGATAAATTTTTTCAAAATACTTCCAACACCGTTGAAAGAGAAAAATCATTATGTGCCGCATGCATATAGTTCAGACAGTGAGGAATAATAAGCTGTGTTCCTTCTGTGGCAATGAGGAGAATCATGACAAATTAAATGAGATGATATTTAAACTTACTTTGCTGATAATATTTGTTCTAATTAGTCGCCCGTAGGAATGTTGTAGTGGCCTGAAATTAGGGGCCACATACTGGGGCTCTTTTTCTTCCGCAATGGTCCGTTGTAGTTTCCGCCACTTATTTAACTGCAATGTACTCATTGTGATTACTCAGTTACAAATTTATTAAATGAAAATTTCACATTGAAATTCTTTGTCGACAATGAAAAAATAAAGCATATAGATTCAAATTTAATTCTCCAACTAAAAACAATTTAGTCTTTAAACTTTTAATTAACTACTGCTCAACATTCATTCAACCTTGGTCTGTATCTTTTGTGAGGCTGCGGAATAAAACTATGAGAGCTGGAATAAATTTGCTAAAATTTAAATGTTCATTCTGAACTCTTTTTTTCTCTTCTTGTTGAGCAATACGCAATTAACGTGTTAGATTAACTCATCCTATAAAAAGATCTACATTTGTCCTAGTGATATAAATTGGGTGATTAAGTATAATCCAGGTGACTGTTTCATAACATCCTGGTGATGTCATCGATCCTTCGTATGTCACATAGTCCATTAAAGCAGGGAATAATTTCCATATTTTTAATTCATGCAGTGTAATACGTTTTTCTGAAAAGTTCTTTTTTTTCATACATTGCTATTAGTTGACAAAAATTTTAAATTTTGCAAATGACAAACTGATTCTAGAAATTCTAAAAAAGGTTATATAATGGAGGGAGTTATTTCATTTCATTTCCGATATTTAGAAATGAAAATTGAGCATTACTTCTGAAAGGTACTTTTTCGATAGATTCGGTGATCTTTGACAACTCTTCATTGGTATGTTTATCAACCTGTAATTTTTTCTTATGATTAAGACAATAGAATTTCAACGCTGCTCATCGAGGTACGATCTATTTTCTTTTAAGGACAAATAATTTGAAATGAAACGATAACCCTGCTAAGGTGAAATGATCATAATCATCACAATGATAAATGAGCCACTATTAAAAGCTCGCAAAAAACTATTTGGATAAAATGAACGAAACAAATGGATTGCAACAATCATAAGGGAACTGTGTGTGCGTGAAATTCAAACACAACCAAAACGATAATCGAAACAGCGGCGATTCCACGTGGCAACGTCAAAGCTGTTGTAAAATTACTGTATAAATCAGTGTTATATGTTATCAGTTGAATCTGGAAGTAAGTGAAATTCGCACTACTTTGATCACAACAATAGCACTTTGGAATAGTTATCTCAATTCATTACTTTCTGTCCTTATGTTTGTGAATTGATCTCTTCGTAAGTCACAATACTTTGATTGAATTTTCAACATAGAAAGTTATAACTTAAACGTGAAAAGCAAAAAAAAAAAACACCTCCATAGGGAAGTTTTTCGAATTGATAGCATGCTCCGAACCTGTCATGTCATCGTTTGAATAATGAAAATCTATTCTTTGTAGGCGGTATTTGTAAGGACGCAATGGCCCGCCAGTGATGTTTACCGCAAAAGAATGAGTATCATAAATTACTCGTAATCGTGGCATCTGACCTATGTTTATCATTTCAGCAGTCGCCTAAAAACCGTTGCATAGTTTTATTGCGACCTCAATATAGTACTGGGAATATTTTAAAAAAAGTGAAAAATGAACGAGTTTGCAGGATAACTTCATATTCTAAAATTTGTTGCGCAGTTAACCTATTTTCAGTTTGACTTCAGCTCATTCAATTTATTTCAATTCAAACATACTGCCAAAGTAAGGAGGAGTTGCATAGTTATAAAAATTTTCTTGCTATATAAAACACAATTAATAGGTGCACTGAAAAAAATTTAAAATGTCAACTCTCGTTTTCACACAAATTTCAGCATATTGAAATTATTTCCTGGTTCGTTTTAATTTTAATTTAAAATCTTTTCTAATGGTAGAAGTGAAAAGAACTGAGTGTTAGTGTTGAAAATTAATATTCGCAAAATCTCTTCTAATCATTTTACAAAAGCATTGGCATGTCTCAGTCATAAAACTAGAAAAAGCTTACTGATATTTGATCTATTTTAATATCACTTAGTCGAGGATCGAATAAAATCGATGCTGGTTTAATGTTTATTGGCGATTGCATTTTTCCTTTTGCACACATCTTCCACTTTTTGCTCAATAAACCCCAAAAGTCGGGTCCTGTAATGAAATCGATTTCCACTTCAAAGTGCTATAATTTTTTTTTTTTGCAAAGGAAAAATAAAGCAAAGTATTTTTCGACGGCTGCTGAATTCTGATGTAAAATTTATGTGCACAATAAAATTACCTCCAAAAAGGTCATTATCATATGTCCATGGATAATCGTTCATTCTTAATGTCCTCAACTGTGGATAAAACGTTGCTAAGAATAAAATAGTAATATATGTCATAGTTGCGCCACCAAACTGATATTAACCTATTTATCCGGCAGCTATTATACGGTTTTCACCTGATTCCATTTTCCATAATTTTCCATTATTTTCATTGCTTATAGACATAGAATTTGATTAAATTAATGTCTATGTTGAAATTAATCGCGAGTAATTAATAGCATCATTGATGGTGGTTGTAAATCATCAAAATAAGGAGCTCAATTTAGGAATTCTCGAACAAATGGAAGTTATTCCACATCTTGCCGGATTCCTTTAGTTGAAAAACCGGAAAAAGCATGGAATTAACAATGATCATACAGTCTTTGAATTAACTCAAAATTGACTGACTTAGAATGATTGATCAGCATGAATCGGGTGATACAAATAGTGATAGTATTCGTAATTTTTATGATTAAGTAAGTGCAAATAATATACTTAAATTGTAGATGCAATAATTGAAAATAAAAGAGTTTGTTCTTGAAAATAGAAAAAGCTGAAAAATTTTAATTTCAAGATGGAGAACAAGTTCGCAATTTGTATGATGACAGTTGTACTAAATTGAATAAAATTAGCTTCGTCTAAGAATGAAGCTGTCTGTGACTCATTCATTTCTACCTCATTTTCATCCGCTCAATTTAAAAGTAATACAAGCAGAAGCGAAACAGCTCCGCCTAATCAATTTCAAATTCATCAGCGTTTAAATGCAAAATAAATTCTTCCATTCTTAAATGTCGTCACTAGCTTCACTAACTATTCCAACAGTAAAAACACTGAATTTAATTTTAAAAAATATTTTGCTTAAATCGGAGGGATAATTAGTCTCATTCAATTCTTCATTCTCATTGGATGTTCACACTTCATTAAGTTATATTTAAAATGATTCACAGATACTACATCTATTGGAATTGTTGTCCTTCAGGTTTGTTGATGATTTCAACGAAATTTCAGAATCTTTTTCACCCATAAGAAAAAAGCTGCTTTTTTGATGCAAAATTTTTGATGCAAATTTCATCGAAATACATTTAAAAACATTAAAGTATTTGATTGTTAGTGCATTATGCATAATATAGAAATAGCTAGCTAGCAAAATACTTGAATTTCCATAAGAATTAAATCAGCTACTCAAATTCATTTAAATCTTTTTTTTTTTTTAAATTTTAATTACTAAAAGACGTGTTATCGTTTTTCTGCAGCACGAAACTATGTCATAAAAAAAAAACCAAAATAAAATAGAATAAATTGCTGGAAAAATGCGAGAATGTAAATGATTATTTTAAGCAGTGAAAAGATGTCAAAGAAACAAAACAGTCGAAATTAATTGAAAATCATTAATCATTTAGAAATTAGGTGGGAAAAAACTTTTAGTTGCTAAAGAAATTCTCCCAGACAAATGCATTTATTTTCTTTTAATACTTCAGTGTTGGGTACACAACTAAAATGCTTGGAATTAAATAAAGAATTCTTGAATTTCTCAAAAACATAGAATTTTTTGTTATTTCAAACTATCACACACAGTAATTTCACCAAGTCTCAGTCTTCTTTCTTTCTGTCGGAAATTTTCAGTTAATCTTATGAAATTGTAAATTTCATTTTAGATCCATTTCATGCCTCTAGGAACACTCTTTCACAAACATTTCACTCACTTTGTCACAACACTTAACGATTATA